TTTTTATTTATTTATTTATTCATTCATTCATTCTTTAGATTTGTATCCCGGCCTCCCTGAAGGCTCAGGGTGGCTAACAAGGGCATAAATGCCTAATAAAAACAATAGTCAATATCTTAGTTTTATTAATATTTATTCTCAAGCCAGCTACAAGTCCATAGTCTCCAAGTTCTTGTTTCCAAATATGAATTGAGTCCAATGGATTCTCCAGTATAAATACTAGATCAACAGCAAATGCCAGGAGTTAGTATTCTTCTCCTTTAAATTTCAGGCCCTTGATCTCTTCTTGTCCTCTTATTGAATCATTAAGTATCTCCAAAGCAAAAATAAACAACAGAGGAGAAAGCGGGCATACCTGTCTAGTCTCTTTTTGGATTTCAATATGTTGTGTCTGTTCCCCAATAATCATCACAACCGCCTTTTGTTTGGTGTAAATTGCCTGGATCATCTTCACAAAGTTAGCGCCGGCAATCGCCTCTTTTAAAGCTTTCAACATGAAGTTCCAGGTCACATTATCAAAGGCCTTTTATGCATCTTAAAATATCAAAGCCAATGGCTTTTCCGGGTGTGCTTCGTAATATTCTATTAAGTCCAAAATACATCTTAAATTGTTCTTAATTTGTCTTTTTGGCAAAAAAACCAGCTTGGTCTTTATGTATTATGTTTGATTTTAAAAAATTAAGTCTTTCAGCTAATATTGAGGCAAATATTTTGTAATCCACATTTAATAAAGAGATTGGTCTATAATTTTTTATTTCTTTCATCCGAATCTTGTTTGTGAATTAGTGAAATTATAGCTTCTTTCCATGATTCTGGAGTTTCTCCATTAACCAATATGTTGTTGCAGACATCTTTAAAATGTAATTGTTCTTCAAATGTAAGATAAAATTCTATTGGAAGTCCATCTGGGCCTGGTGCTTTGCCTTTATTTTGTCTTTTTAAGGCCTCTACCACCTCCATCATTGTGATTGGTTGATTAAGGGAGTCCCTTTGTTTTTCTGTGAATTTCTTTGGTTGATGCATATTTAAATATTCTTTTATCTATTCAATATTTGTATCAGCTTTTCTGTATAGCTCTTTATAAACGTTTTCTACTAAGGCTTTCATTTCCTATATTCTGCTTGTTTCTGATCCATCTCCTATATTCAAGGCTTTTATAAATGATTTTTCTTTTTGTTTCCTAATCTTATAGATGAGCCATCTTGTTGGTTTGTTTGCATTCTCAAAGAAATTTTGCTTTGCAAATAACAATTTTTTAGCCATTTCTTCTGATAGCCTTCAAGTAAAAACTGAGGATAAAGAAAAGTTTAAACAACCAACTCAGAGTGAGGTGGAAAACCCGGACGATTATCAAAAGCAGGAGTGTATACAGAATGTGGTGGATAGTCCGGATTATTTCCAAGAGATGGTCGGTAAAGAGACTCAACCTTCACCTTTGAAAATAGTGAGAAAGAAACAAATAAAAAGACTTTTTATAAGGTTTCAGTTGTTCAAAAAAAGTGCAAAGACTGAAATACAAAAGGAAAATAAGACGGAAGGAAAAAGGAACAAAGCAGGGATCATGGAAGTCTAAAAGAGACAGTAAAACTTGGGAACTGGAATTTTTGAAAACCAAAGGGGAGAGATAAGGAGTAATTTACCACACGCATAAGGATAGAAGGCATGTAAAAATGTTGTACCAAAAGAGCAAGCTACAGATGCAAAAGAAGAAAAGGAAAGTGTTTGCAAGAGGTGAAATTAATGGTTTTCTGACAGGTCTTTATATGGAAGAACCGGCTTTAAAATCTTTGATCTTTTTTCTTTTGGTGTTGTTGTAAAGGACTATTGACTTTAAAGATAAAGTTAGAAGGGCTAGAAATTGTTAGAGAAGTAATGAGAGATTACCCATACTAGATAGAGAGGTAGTTAAGGGAAAAATGGGTACAGCAAAAATAAAACAGGGGGGGGGGAGATAAAATAAAATAATAATTAAGGCAACTTAAAAATAGTAGAGTGGGTCACATTAGGAGTGTTTAATTAATTATGTAGGTTTAATGATGTTAGACTATTTTGGTTAAGTTATGATTGATTTATGTTTGTGGGGGAAATTAGCAACGATTACATTATTGTTAAATAGATGGTGTTGGTGGCCCAGAAGCTCCTCTCACACCCTCCGACAAGCGTGCAGAGTGAGCACGTTTTTCCCCATGAGGGCGACATTGTCTGCTCGCATCGCTCCCCTGGTCAGTTCAGCAGTTGGTCTTCCTGAAGGTCAACCTGCCACTGTTCGGTTTCCCGGTCCTAGACTTTGAGGGTGATTGAAGGGAGCACGCATACTTGTGCCTGCAATCCCCTCTCGGCCTGTGCTGGGAAGTTGGGTTACAGCGCTCTTCCCATGATTAAAACTAGAGAGGCTAGGGAGAAGTAGCAGCCAGGGCCATTTTGATTGGCACAGAAATGCCCCACCAATCTCCCCACTTCCATCCATCCCACCTGCAGCAGAAATACCTCTACAGAACCCTGGTAGCCGTGCAGTGCAGGGTAATGTTGAAGGTGGTGCCTGTATGCACCTAAGTTACACTGCCAGCCACCCCAAAACAAAACTGCATGCTGAAATTGAAACAGCATCACAAAAATTGTTCTCCATTTGAACACGGTAGAGTAGGGTAGATGCCAGAAACCAGCAGAACCCACAGGAGCACCATAAATAATGAATGTAAATGAATGTTGTTTATTGAAAAATAATTTTCTTTTGCAGGTGTGAGGTGGGAAAGGGAGGGAGAGCCTGTGACGAAGGGCCGCTGCCGCACCTAGGCTAAGCCTCCTCCACAGAGGCGGGCAGTGATGGGTGGAGTTGGTGTACTGCTGCAAGAGGAGGATCAGTGGACAGAGAAGACACTACCCCCTCCCTCTCACTTTCTGAGGCATTAGTGAGCAGGGCTTCTTGTTGTGGTGATTACTAACTTGCACAGGTTTTGCCCCCTCAGTTTATGATGCAGAGAATCTCCGGTTTGACCTGAGCTCTGTTGGGCTTGGCACTGTCTGGCACAGTGGCAAAGGTTCTGGGGGCCACATTGCACAGGTTCTGCTGCTGGCCTGGAAAACATGCTCCCTCAGTTTATGCTGCAGAGATTCTCCGGTTTGACCTGAGTTCTGTTGGGTTTGGCAGTGGCACACTGGCACGGGTTCTGGGGGGCACATTGTACAAGTTCTGCTGCTGCTAGCCTTGCAAACATGCCCCCTCAGTTTATGCTGCAGAGATTCTCTGATTTGAACGGAGTTCCATTGGGTTTGGGCACTGACTGGCACAGTGACACTGGTTCTGGGGGGCACTGCTGGCCTGGCAAACATGCCCCCTCACACCACCACCACACCTCACTAACAGATTCTTGGGGAGACACTGTCTGCTGCCTGCCTTTTTTCCATCCCCATAGGAAAAATGGAGAATTGGGAGCACCCTCTTTGGATACCACTGGAATTGGACCCCCTGGTCCAATCTTTCCAAAACGTTGGAGGTCTTTTGGAGGAGATGCTCCAGCAGCTACAGTCCAAATTTGGTGCCTCTACCACAAACCCCCTCCCCCCCAGCCCCCTGAAAACTTGTTAGAAGATTTTTGCCATTGAGTACAATGGCCCCATAGGATATAATGGACCCAAATTTTTTTGGATATCTGAAAATATTTGGATATCTATACAATACTGGTATTGGTATTTGAGTTTTTTCGGATGTCCCAAAAAAATTCGGGTTCGATATGTCCGAATCCAGAAAAAAACAATTTTTTTCTACCATCCCATTCGATCTAGGATATCCGGGACTGCATAAACATTGTTCAAATGCCCACTCCTGGGCAAATTATCTAAACTCTTTACTTGCAAAAGGGCATGTTGTCACTTACTACCTTCCTTGGAATTCCATGGCGTGCAAATGTATTCTTAAGTCTAAGAATCACTGTGCCAGCAGTTTTATCTGGCAGTGCCACTACCTCTGGGTATTTTGAATAGTAATCCACTACAGGAAAGGACTGGTAGTCAAAAATGTCTATACCTACTTTTTTACCATGGCAAATCTGGGATTTCGTGGGGTATAAGTGGCTCCTTTTGATTTTCAACCGCAAATCTAGCACACACAGAAAAACTCCTAACCATCCTTTCATTGTCAGCACACATACCCGGCCAATACATTAGCCCTTTCGCCTGAGCCTTTGTTCTCTGAATGCCCTGGTGTGATTCATGAAGCTGAGATAACACACCTTGTCTCAAGGACACAGGAATAAACAGTCTCTCACCCACATACACAATGCCATCTTCAATACGTAGTGCATCCTTGATGGCCCAAAAAGATTTTATAGATGCAGGGACATCTTTATAATATTGTGGCCACCCTGACTTTAAACAATTTATTACCAAATGAAGATGTTCATCTCATTTCGTGGCTTCCTGTATAGCCTCTAGCCCTTCAGGACAGGCCTCTAACATCTCCACTTCGTGTATGACATTTTCTTCCCATACCTGTTTCTCATCACTTGTACGAAGATCCACCGCAGCTCTTGATAAAGTATCAGCTAAATACACGTGCTTACCTGGAGTATGCTGCACATTAAGCTGGTACCACTGTAATTGTAAGAGCATGCGCTATAGCCGAGCAGGGGCAGAACCAATTGATTTCTTAAAAATTGCCTCCAGCGGCTTATAATCAGTCTGCACATTAACAACTTTGGTGATGTATTGATAAAACTTTTGAATTGCATACACTACAGCCAAAAGCTCTTTCTCTATCTGTGCATAGTTTTGTTCTGTTGGGCTATCGGGTTAAATACATCACCATAGAATGGAAAGCCACCTACTTAAAGATACACACACATCACAAAGAGAGCATACTTCAAGAGGTGCTCAAAATCAGAGTAGGGTTAGAACATACTGAGCCAGAGGGATCAGTGGTCTGATTTCACAGAAAGCACTTGCATATTGAGTAAATGGAGAAAATATCTCAGGCAAGTATAGAACCGGAGAGGGAAACTTACTTGAAATGATCCTGCAGTGAAACATTGAAGTCAAAGGCATCACCCCGGTCTCCGAAGCCTATGCCGATGAATGCATTGCGCCCTGAAAATTTCAGTAGAACAGCCATTCAATAGAAGTACTGGTGGTGACAAAGACTTTAACAGCTTACCCCATGACCAAGCTCGGGAAAACATCTGGTATAAGGGCTATAGAAAAACACTGCCAGCATCTGCATCCATGCACAATGCTATGCATTCAAGAGGAAGCCATCTATCTTGCCTTAGTTTACAGCCTTTTCATTCCAAATGTTTAATCTTCTAGTCTTTAAACCTACACCTTATCTCTTCCATGACAGCAGAACCTTTCTGACAATGGTGGGAGAAAGATGGCTGGTTAAAGATTGCATTTTTGTGGCCTGTGGCAAGCTGCGCTACTTGCAACAGTTAAACACTATATTATTCTAAAACTTTTGGCATCTCTTCAGCACCACACCGCTATGCAGTGGCAACTAAGGCTTTTACTGTGGTTGAGTTCAGTCCCAATGCAAAATGACACTGAAGAGCCCTGCGCCTACGCCCAGTGATTGTTCCTGGGTGTGTCGGCTAGTGAAGCATTTGCACTACTGGGAATGTGTGCCGTCTTCCCTAGTCCTGCTCCCAACCACCTCTAGTCAGCCACATCCTTCTGACGAGATAGCCACCCCGCTCCATTTCGCTGCATTCTGCCCGCTCACCATTCCCATCCTGAATCCGGATGACAAAGTACCGGCTGGAATCTGTCACGGTCTCCACAGCGATGCCCGGATACTGATCCATTGGAGCCTGAGCAAAAAGCTCCCCTGAGGAGACAGAAGAAAGCCTCAAGAGACCTCAACATCCCCACAGAGAGAGCGGGCAGACGCCGCGCACGGCTGCCGTGCAGAAACAACAACCAGCACCACATTTCGTAACAGGAAGAGAGCAGCACAATTTCACAAAAACACACAATACCTTTCATTGCGGCCAGTATGACATGAAAAAGTCCTTCGTGTCATTTGGTTTGGCATCAATAAAAGGTTTTACATTATTCTGTTTCTTTTTCTGGGTTGTGTGTGGACCAACAAGGCTGTTTTACAACATTTTCCCATAGTTTCACAATATATCAAAATAGTTGTACTGAATATAAATTATTAAACCAATGATGCTAACTTGCATTGCTAAACCTTAGCTCACAAGGATAAATATTGCAAATGTAGCATTCAAAATAAAAATCAGGAAAAGTACTATTGTCAAGCCAACAGCAAAAGGAAACTACAGCACTTGCTGCGTACCTCTCTGGCAAAGAGCTCTACTACAAACTGCAGGTTATTCTTCTGCATCAAATGCTGCGGAACACCTCCCTTGCAGAAAAGGTCCCACTTGTGAGCAAAACTAGAGGCAGGAGAGATGTTACCCATTCCCCAGCTGCTTTCTCTTTAAGAGACATTCCCATCTCTTCAGTGGGTGGGAGTGCACGAGCACCAACTCACACACACAACTTGCCACAGGGCCTAGCATCATGCAGTGTGTTTCCCCTAGGGCCTAGGCCACAGCAACAACATCAACTGCTGTGGAGAACCCTTGCCACGTAACAAGGAACATGTTACCACAGAGAGAAAGGGACAAATGCCTTTTGTTACAGGGCTGCAACACAAAATCACACACCAGTCCGGTAGTCTGCCACCAGGCCCTTTGTGTCAAACTTGGCCCTCATTTGCCATATGTTTGTTCACTGTCTATTTCATGTCACTGCCTTGTTTCATTCCACCTGGGAATTGGGGGGGGAGGGCGTGCGTGGAGCTCCTCTGCTGAGAGTTGCACTGGCTTGTAACTGAGTCTATGCGGGGCCTCCCTGTTGTGGGAAGTATGCGTGCTTGACCTTGAGTACCAGACACTGCTAGATAGTGTAACTGTAGGCTTGCAGGTGCTGGGGGAGGGTTAACGAAGCACAATAGTTTTGGCAGGCTGGATGTATGGGTGTGATTGGCCTGGTCCCCGGGGTGTGTGTGTGCGTTTGAATCATGTGTAACTGGAGAACTGGTGCCAAGGGAGCCAGCTCTGACACAGATTCGTCTATGCTTGAAATCTCTTTATCTCTCAATAAACACATCACTGGCAAGAGAATGTTGTTGGGAGTGAGTTTCTTCAGGACGTGACACTATAACTAACCCAACAGTCAGAAACCAAAGGGCAAAGCTTCTAACCCTCCTGGGTCTAAATCAGAAAGCCCACCCTGTGAGGTAGGTTCACAGAAGGAGTTTCTCACCAAAAAAAACCAAGTTACACTGTTAGGTGGTCAGCTAGTCTAGGCTCTGGATTTAGATTGAGGACTGTGAAAGCAAATAATCACAAAAGTAAATCAAAAAATATTTTTATTAAGGTGCAAGAATAAACAGGAACAAAAGACTGTGAGGATAAAACAACAAAACTAGGGATTTAAAGGCTAAATAAAAGTGTAATATATTCCTTCCAAGTTACAAGACATTACCCATTCTCAGATGGAAGTTCGAATGATCCAAAGCGGCTCTACTCCCAAGTCACCAGAGTGATGGCCCATGCAAGCAATGGCCCATGCAAGCAGTTATCCAAGAAGGCCGAAAATGAGCAAGAACATAAGAACATAAAAGAAGCCAATGTTGGATCAGGCCAACACTCTGTCACACAGTGGCCAAAAAGACCAGGTGCCATCAGGAGGTCCACCAGTGGGGCCAGGACACTAGAAGCCCTCCCACTGTGCCCCCCCCCAGCACCAAAAACACAGAGCATCACTTGCCCCAGACTGAGAGCTAATAGCCACTGATGGACCTCTGCTTCATATGTTTATCCAGTTCCCTCTTGAAGCCGTCCATGCTTGTAGCCGCCACCACTTCCTGTGGCAGTGAATTCCATGTGTTCATCACTCTTTGGGTGAAGAAGGACTTCCTTTTATCTGTTCTAACCCGATGCCCACGAGTTCTTGTAGATGAGTCATGAGTAGCCACCATCAAGCTATAGCCTAGAATCTCATGACTTTATGGGTATAGGGACCTTTGTGGTCCCAGGCCTATGAACCAATAAGGTCTCTTAGTGATGACACATAGTCAAAGTGTGAGACCAATGGCTGAAAAGGTGCCATAAATGGTGGCCTGACCTGGGAGGAAGGAACAAAGCCAATCTGCAGCTAGGTTTGACCTCTTTCCCACAAGTGCAAATCATGGGCCTAATTGAAAGGAATGTGGCTAATTGGAAAGCCAGTACCAGGCGTCACACTCCCTTCTGCAGCTGCTGTTACCTCAGCTGTACAAGGTCACCCTGTTCTTTCTCAACAAGGCAGTTTTGAACTCTGTTTAACTCACAAGCAGGCCGCATTTGAGCCAGAACCAAGCTTTGAATCAGAACAGAATTTTAAGGGAACCCGCCACAAGGGATGTGCCAGGAGACCGGCAAACCCACCGTGACCATGCCTCTAACTGGGGCAACCTGAACTGCTGTACACTAACACTGAAAAAGGCAGCAAAGGCAGGGGAGGGAGGCTGAACAGGGGAGGAACGCACATCCATTTCAGCGACAATTCCATGATATACTTCTGGTTGTGGCGTTCAAGTATGCGCGAATATTCTCCCCCAAAAGACAAAGGGAACCTAACTTAAGACTCCATACCAGAGTTAGAGTATTACACTTAACCATACTGCAACACATGTTTTATTTGATTACTTGCACATAAATGCATATGAATATGCCACATGCTCATGTACTATCAGAAGCAGATCTTCTGAGATATGGCTGTTGCAACACTTTCCACACAAATGTCTTCATTTTCATGAGTACCTTTCATACAAAGATTTCTCTGCTGAACACACTTACCAGCATTCTCTGCAGCCATGGATGATAAACTGTCACTTTCAAAAGTATTAGTTTATACAAGGCTAAACACCATTCCTGTTTCCGTTTCCTTCCTCTCTGGATGAGAGCCAAATACATTCTCCACGGCAGCGATGCGCTCAAGCCACTTAACATTAAAAGATTCAGCACTTGCTGCAAAGATGGAAAGGCAGAACTACTTATCCTTGATCCATTATTATTTCATGTCATTCTGCACTAGGCGTAATGCCGTCTGCTCTTCCAAAGACCAGAACTGAGCACAGCACAAATACATCCCTACCTGTGACGTCATATTACTTGACAACATACACACACAGTTGCCAGTTAGTGTTTAATGGCAGAAGTAATCGAAGATATCACCATCAAGTGGGAATCCTGGTACAACAACAGGAAGGGTAGGGTTACAGCCAAACACACACAAAAGCATGACGAACTGGAAATATAAGTTCTGCCAGCAAAGCTTTTACTACTGGAGTGACTGGAAGAGTCCCAGTACATTTGGCTGCACCCCCTGATCTGGGCAACTGTGCCTACTCTTGCTACAGAATGCCATCCTGCAGGGCCTCACCTGAAACTTTGTCCTCAAGTTTTATGTAGGCAATTTTGCCCTTAGAGGTAATGCGGAGTCTTCCAGTCCAGTCCGGCTGATCCAACTTCCAGTCAGAGGCTCTGCGAGGGTAAACAAAGGGACAGATGTTTATCCATAAGAAAGCCCCTCTCAGCTTGCTGACCTGTCCTGCTGTAGGATTTCCAAACAGCCTTGCTGATCCAAACTGTTATGGTTGCCTAGCAAAAGCCACTGAGGGTATTTGTTTATTAAAGAAGAAAAGAGGAAGAAGAGATTGGATCTATACCCCCCTCCTTCACTCAGAGTCTCAGAATGGCTTACAAACTCCTTTCCCTTCCCCTCCCCACAACAGACACCCTGTGAGGTAGGTGGGGCGGAGAGAGCTCTTTCAAGAATTGCTCTTTCAAGAACAGCTCTGACAGAACTATGGCTTGCCCAAGGTCATCCAGCAGCTGCAAATGGAGGAATGGGGAATCAAACTCAGTTCTCCCAGGTTACAGTCCGTGCACTTAACCACTATACCAGATTGGCATTTCAGATCCAAACTCCAGAAGATACAGACTTACAGAGTGCCCACCACACTAATAGAAAGCCACAGAACCTCTAAATAACAGAACTCCTTTTGAGACTGTGATAAAATAAAAGGAAGAGTGGAATTTTCACGAACTGCAACACAGAAGGCACCTACACAGCAAGAAACAGAAAAGCAGAAGGGGGGTGGGGGTGGCGGCTAATGTTCAAGGAACAACCATCAGCAGAAGGAAGTGAACCTTCCCAAGTGGCTATGCTGAACAAAAGAGAAATCTGATTACTGACAGTCTCCATTTTAAGAGCCCTGAAGTTACAAGAGGAGAAGAGGCACACTGTTCAGGTCTTTTGCTTCATTTTCCTTTGCTGTGACAGCAATGCAGAGTGGCAACAGAAGCTCCTGGCTGACATATTAGAGAACATAAGAAGAGCCCTGCTGGATCAGATGAATGGTCCATCTAGTAGAATCATAGAATCCTAGAGAGTTGGAAGGGGCTTATACAGACCACCTAGGCCAACCCCCTGAGCCCAATGCAGGAGCAGCCTAGAGCATCTCTGACAAATATTCGTCCAGCCTCTTCTTGAAAGCTGCCAGTGAAGGGGAGCTGACCACCTCCCCAGGCAGCTGACTCCACCTTTGAACCACTCTGACCGTGAAAAAGTTTTTCCTAATATCCAGCTGATACCTTTCTGCGCGTAATTTAAACCCGTTGCTTCGGGTCCTATCCTCTGCTGCCAATTGGAACAACTCCTTGCCCTCCTTCAAATGACAGCCTTTCAAATAATTAAAGAGAGCAATCATGTCCCCCCTCAATCGCCTTTCCTCCAAACTAAACATCCCCAGGGCCCTCAGCCTTTCCTCGTAGGGCTCCGTCTCCAGACACACACACCCCGATCATCCTCGTCGCTCTCTTCTGCACCCTCTCAATTTGGCCCACATCCTTTGTGAAGTGAGGCCTCCAGAACTGCACACAGGACTCCAGGTGCGGCCTGACCAAGGCAATATACAGAGGGGCTATGACCTCCTGCGATTTCGATCCTATGGCCCTTTTAATACAACCCAAGACTGGATTTGCCTTTTTTGCATCACACTGATTGCTCATATTTAGTTTAGAGTCCACTCTTACCCCAAGATCTCTTTCGCATACACTTCTCCCTAGAAACGGATCCTCCATCCAGTATTTGTGCTTGACATTTTTGTGGCCCGGATGTAATACTGTGCATTTATCTTTATTGAATTGCATCCTGTTCACAACTGCCCACTACTCCAGAGTATTTAGGTCTTGAAGAATTTTAGCTCTATCTTCTTGGGAGTTTGCTACCCCTCCCAATTTGGTATCATCAGCAAGTTTAATGAGTAGCCCTGCTACCCCTTTATCCAGATCATTGATAAAGTACCGGGCCCAAAACCAAGCCCTGCGGCACCCCACTGGACACCTCCCTCCAATCTGATGAAATGCCACTGACCACCATTCTTTGGGTGCAGTCCTCAAACCAGTTCCCTATTCACCAAACTATCCTATAGTCCAGTCGACAGACTTCCAGTTTGCCCATCAGAATGTCATGGGTAACCTTATCAAAAGCTTTACTGAAATCCAGGTAAATCACATCAACAGAGTTCCCACGATCCAGTAAGCTTGACGATGATGGACAGAGGCTCTGCAAGTTCATCAGACAGTTCTTTGAGCACTCTTGGGTGCACACCATCAGGCCCAGGGGATCTGTTTTCATCTAGTGCAACCAGGTGCCTCTCCACAACCTCCCTGTCAATGTCAACAGGACACTCAGGTGTCCTGTTATGTCCTATACCAGGGGTGGCCTAACTTGCTTAACGTCAGATGTTTGAGAGCCACAAGACATGAACAAATATTACACGTTTTTATTGAAAAATATGCAGATTTGCTTTTTATTAACATTAGACTGTGTGAAAGAGCTGCATGCGGCTCCCGAACTGCAGTTTGACCACCCCTGTCCTCTACCATCTCTAGATGGGATCGAGTTCTTCTGGGAGAAAACAGAGGCAAAAAAGTAATTAAGCCTGTCTGCTTTTTCGCTGTCCTCCACCAGAGTTTCTCCTTCTACTCGCAAAAGCGGTCCAATTCCCTCTTTTACCCTGCGTTTGCTTCTGACATACCTGTAGAAGTTTTTCTTATTGTAGCGAGCCCCCCTGGTCAGACCCAACTCATACTGAGCTTTGGTTTCCCTGATGGCTGATCTGTAGTACCTAGTAACTTTCATATACTCTTCTTTAGAGGTCTGACCTTCCCTCCATTTCCTGAACATTTCCTTTTTCTCCCTTAGCTTATTCTGAAGCTCTTGGTTCATCCACATCGGTTTCTTGGAGCCCTTACCATGTTTCTGTCTTGCTGGAATACTGAGGGCTTGAGCTCGCAAAAGCTCATGTTTGAGAAAAGCCCACCCTTCACTCGCTCCTTTCCGTTCCAGTACCCTCCCCCATGGAATGACTCCCATCAAGCCTCTGAGTTCGTTGAAGTTCACCCTACGAAAATCTAACCTATGAGTCTGGCTACAAACCTCCTTGACCCTCCCCCCCAGCAACTGGAATTCAAGGAGGACATGGTCATTTCCCCCTAAGGTCCCCACCACCTTCACCCCGTTTACCGATTCTTCCCTGTTGGTTAATATTAAGTCTAGTATGGGCGAGCCCCTTGTAGCTTCCTCCACCATTTGAAAAAGAAAGTTGTTGGCCAGACAGATCAGGAAGTTGCGTGATTCTTGTAGCTTTGTTGAGCCTGTCTCCCGGCATACATCAGGGAAGTTGAAGTCTCCCATAATTATAAAGTTCTGATGTCTGGATACTCTACCAATCTGTTCAAGGAGGGCAGCATCCATTTCCTGTCCCTGGTCAGGCAGTCTATAGTAGACTTCAACAACAATACCCTTTGTCCTACCTCCCCTTATTTCCACACATATACTTTCCATGGACTGTCAACCACATTCTTCAGAACTTCCTGACATTCTAGCCCTCTCTTCACATACAGCACCGCTCCACCTCCTCTTCTACACTTCCTGTTTTTCTTGAATAACTCATACCCATCCACTATCACATCCCAGTCATGAGAATCATCCCACCAAGTCTCAATGATTCCTATTAGAAGAAGAAGAAGAAGAGATTGGATTTATACCCCACCCTTCACTACCCAAAGGTGTCTCAGAGTGGCTTACAAACTCCTTTCCCTTCA